CCCATTCGAGAAAGAGCCGTAAGAGGCTAGAGTACAGTGATATTTAGGTGCCGTTGTGGTCCCCATCCACACGCAAAACAGCAGACGCAACGTGTCGCACGAGCGGACACCCACACAATTATAGCCGAATGCGCTACTTTTCTGTGAACTCTCAGGTTGGTTCTCCACGCTGTGCTCCATAGACAGCCTGCTGTTCAAGTTTTTCGCTGCGGATCCCCAGCATCGATGTGATTTTGTGGATGGCGTGTGGAACTAAAGCTATCACAACCCTCCAACTTCCTTTCCGGGCGCTTTCGAAAGTAGAACTTTAGTACCTAAGAGAAAATGAAATGACACCAACCCATCATCTGTTGATGTATGATAGCACCCTGTCCATTCGACACCATCTTTGACTGTTGTTGTTGTTGCATTGTGTTGAACTAAAGCACATTTTTCACATCTCGGTATAAAAAATAAAAAAAACATGAGAAATGCCCGGAAGAGCCGAACTGAAAACTAGTGAGTGCACTTGCCCTTCGCACGTATGTCGAGAACAGTTGTTTTTTACGCTCTTGACTTTGTTCAACGTGAATTTCCTGCTGCCAATGAGGTGGGAAACGTGACATACTGAAATAAAACAATGCGCGTATGTTCCCCCGCAGTAACTGGTGCTAAAAAGTGCGAGTTGGAACAAAACCCACTAGTACTGATATTGCTGCTGTTGCTGTTGTTGTTGCTGCTGCAACATCTGGGCTTGTTGCATCTGTGAGGGATGACCGTACATCGGCTGTCCAGGAACTTGAATAATATCATTAATGGGACAAAAAAATGTTCTAGAGAAAACAGTCTAAAAACATCGATGCTTAGCATCGCATCTTCCTCAGACGATTATTCGGATCAAAGGTGAGATAGGACAGGAAGGAAGGAAAGGAAGGAAATAGATTAGGAAGGACGACACGGAGTCTTATGAACAGGGCACATCCTGTCGTTGAAGAAAAATTTCGCAAATGCGACTCTCACAATTTCCTACTGGGGTAAGACACCTCCCCCCCCCCCCAACCCCCTCCCTCTTCCACATCACTATCATCGCGGTAAATTTTTCAGTTTAACACCACTGTTCAGGAGCTTTTTCCCAGGGAACTGAACAAAACCCAAAAACTGCTTTCGAGCAGCAGACGAGGAGGAAAGGGGAGCGGGTACCGTATACAGCGCACATGAAACAGGATAACCCGAGTAATGTCCACAACCGAAAACATGGTTTATCAAGAGAAATCGAGACCTCTCCCTCCAGCGATAAAATATGACCCCCATCACTGAGGATCCCTACGTACGACGTGCCCCTGCTAATATACCATCTAACATCATTTCGGGGCGGGGGTGGCGAAAGCGGCTTTGCAAATAGTGTCACGTGCGTGGACGGTGTCCGCCCAGGGCCAATCGACTGAAGGTGGTAACCTTCAGAAAGCTAAGCCAGCTAGTCAGGAAATACTGTTATTTCGCGCCAAACGCAGCGTCTTTGGATTTCCTGACTCCCAGAAGTTACTTCAAAGCGCTGTTTGTTAAAAAAATGAATAGTCTTCTTCCATCGCTTGAAAGATCTGCTCGCGCTACCCGTTGCTGATGACTTCAAGAACAAAACGTATGTCATGTCTAAATAGCAGATTGAAGTAATTAAAAAGGCTTGACTCGCTGAGAACGCATTCATACTTCGCTTACATGCCGTCGTGATCATACTTCGCTTAAATGTCGCGATCGAATAGCGAACTATGAACTTGCTCTGAACAAAACAACGTTTTTCTGCATTCGACGCGCTCTTCCCCTGCGTCCTCTCGACTCACAAAACCCACTCAGACTAGCAGAGTGCTCTTCAAATAGCGTCTACGGGCCTCACAAGTGTCAGAGTAGAAAAAGTAAATAATGCAATAGCTAGGGTATTATAGTAATACCTCTGAAAACAACACAATGTAAAAATAAATGCACAACGATAGATCACCTTGAGAATTCATCATCCCAGGAGGCGGTGCGTACATCTGGCGCATTCCAGGCGCCGCTTGTCCAGGTTGGCCCATCACCTTAATACAAGAGAATTATCATCACGGTCTCTATCCAAGGAATAATTGACTTAAATCCAAATCTTATTCAACCTAAGGAACGAAAAAGTGATTTTTGTTGAAATTTCGAAAAAAAGTCGATTCACAGTAAGCCAGCGCCTTTGGTCCGCAACCGATCTTGAGCATAGAATTAATTTAGAATTGTTAAAAGCAGAAGTCGGAGACAATTCAGAGATGTCAGAACAAGACATATAGAGCACCCCGTACTGCTCACCCTTTGCCGTCCCTTTTTCGAAATTCAGGCCAGTTTTTCAACGAAATGACTCCTCAAGGGGGACATTGGCCAGAATTTCGCCTTTCAGGCAAGCGTAACTTCCTTACCGCCAGTATCACATAACCTGGAAGAAGTGACACCTGTCCCACGTTACACACTTCGGCGCCA